GGAGTCACTGCCAGCCATCGCCAGGACAAGCAGCATGTGAAGATGCCGGTAAGCCACGAGCCACGTGGCAAGGTATAGATTTGTGGGAAATGGATTAATTTAAGATATAAGTACAGTTAGTAAGAAGCCTGCCACAGCCATACAGTTTGTAAGCAATATAAGTCTCTGTGTTCAGGTGGTTGGGTCTGAGTGGCTGTGGGACCTGGCGGGTGACAAAGATTTGTCCTGACTGTGGGCAAGGCAGGAAAACTCTAGCTACAGGAGGTTTCCAGGGGAGGGTGAAGGGATGGAATGCACAGAGGACATCAGGCATTGCAACGTGTACGCAGAGAAGGGCAGAAATGGAGAAAAGGCTGGAACAAAAAGTACATGGGACCTTTAAAGGAGAACACAGAGGACACCCAAGCTCTTGGCCAGGCCCCTCCAATGTCCATCTGAAGCCCTGACTGAGAGAACCACAAGAGGAGCTCCTGCCTTCATCACATTAAATACAGAAGCTACAGAGTGCTGTAGAAAAAGTCCCATTTGCAGACAGATGGTGGAAGCCTCATTATTCCTCCTGAGGCCATCTTTGCTCCTCTGGGCATGTTTTCCCTCTGTAACAGACAGGCTCAACCCTGGGAGTGCTGTGAAGACTGACTTGAACATCTGTAGAAAATGCTCTACAGCATGACTGACTGATATGTCAGAAGCCCAGTGGAGTACATTGTCACTAGGACTGATGCTGAAAATACCAGGGAAGGGCAGCAGAGGGATCTTCTATGGCCTAGACCACAACTTTAGGGCCTAATACTGGAAGTTCGTTTTGGCTAGAGTCTTTTTCTTTCCTTTTTTTTTTTTTTTTTTTTTTGAGACATGGTTTCTCTATGTAGCTTTGTGTCTTTCCTGGAACCCACTCTGTAGCTCAGGTGGGCCTCGAACTCATAGAGATCTGCCTGCCTCTGCCTCCTAAGTGCTGGGATTAAAGGCATGCGCCACCACCACCTGGCTTTTGGCTAGAGTCTTAATGTCTGACCTCTGACACTCAGGTTCTGTTCTACCCAGAACTATAGAAACAGCACAAGACACAGCCTGAATGTGCATGCATACACTCGAAGTAAACACCCTGTCTATTCCTGGACACTTTGATGTGCATCATGCCTAGGCTAGATGCTCATTTGAGCTATGTTCACCATAACAGCTGACTCCAGTGGTATATACAAACCTTCCCAGAGCACCTCACACACCTAGCCATCCTCACATCTTTTCAGTCTTGCACCTTGGAACTGTGTGGCATTCTGAAGCCATCCATAGTGGGAATGTTTATACCAGGATGCAAAGCAAATGCTATGACTTAGGACCCAGTATGGCAAGCCAAGCCCCCAGCAGCTGATAGAATGGGGACATTTGAACAACCCTGACTCTTCTTCCAAGGTATGGTCTGTGAACTAGTAGTAGTATCAGTCTCAACAGGCCCTGTTTAAAAATGTCAAATCCTGGCTGGGCAGTTTGAGGCCAGCCTGGTCTACAGGGTGAGTTCCAGGACAGCCAGGGCTGTTACACAGAGAAACCCTGCCTCAAACCTCCCAACCCCCCAAAAAGTCAGATCTGTCCTCTCTATGGGTCTCTGAGAGGGGTTCCATTTGAGGTGCAATATGTTGATCAATTTGGGTTATCAAAATTAAGGGGGCTAAAAGAACTTAGTTCCTATCCCAGAAGGAAATGAGAGCTTTGAAGAGGAATGGAACATTAACTCTGAGAATGACTTGACCTTCTATAAAGTCAGATGCCCTCTAATTTTTTCCTTGTTCAAATATCATGTAGAGAATAATTAAGACAGGGAAAATGCATAATCCATATTTTCTCCAGCCACACAACTGCTCTTTCTTCCACACATTTTTCATGCATTCAAATCCACCTCGTGCACACGCACATTTATGTAAGCTGCTAGTGCATGTGTGTTATCACACATTTGTGCTCAGCACATTTGCAGCCTTGAAGTAATTAATGCCTTGGACTTTGGTCTGCTGACTTTTTTGAAAATGGGATTTTGTAAAGTTCCTTCATCATCCTTGTTGGTTTTGTTTTTTGTCTTTGGAGTAGCAGAGTTGTGCCGAGAAGAGGGACACCTGGAACATAATCCTCAGAATTAACATTCCTTATTCAGGGCTGGCTGAAGGGAACAGTTACAATCTGTTTGATTCTGGAGGTTTTTTTTTTGGCAGTTTATAAACAAGTTCCTTGTTGATTGGCATGATTGCATCTGTGTCAGAAGACTTTTTACATCTTTTAGAGAGCAGTGATTCTCAAGCTTCCTATAGTTCATGTTGTAGTGACCTCCAACCATAAAATTATTCTCATTGCTACTTCATAACTGTAATTTTGCTACTGTTATGAATCATAATATAAATATTTTTGGAGATAGAGGTTTGCCAAAGGGGTTGTGACCCACAGGTTGAGAACCACTGCTCTAGAGTCCAGAGTTTTTCTCATGTTGTAGCTGGTCCATCCTTACCCTGGAGGCTAAGAATGAGTTGAAACCACCTGGTTTGGGGTGATGTTAATAACTTGTTGTCAGTTGACCTATATGGAGTGGGGTGGGAGTGCCACCAGCATTCTTCATTGTTGACTTTGTGTGTGTATGTATACAAGTGCACATATTTAGTGTAAGTCTGAAGTTGATGGTGGGTGTCTTCCTTCATCAGTCTCCATTTTGTTTACTGAGGTAAGGTCTCTTAATTGAACTCAGAGTTTTCTAACGGGCTAGTCTAGCTACCCAGCTTGCTCTAAGGATCTTGATTCTGCTTCCTGAGTGCAGACTCCTACATCTGCCAGATGTTTACTTGGGTCCTGGATATCCAAACTTTGATCCTCATGATTGCACTACATGTACTTTAATCCACTGAGCCATTTTCTCAGCCCGAATTTATAGCTTTTCATTGCAAGTCTTGCTTATTCATTCAGTACATTTTTATGGGTACTCCCTCCACCCTCACTGCACTGGGGGATTGGATGGGCAGGGTGAGAGAAAAATTCTAAAGCCCCGAGTGTTTGTGACCAAGTGTTCATTTGATTTTACAGGTAAGGAGAGTCAGAAAGACCGGCAGGGGAGGGTGACATGGAAGTTCTCCAAGTAAAGAACAGCCAAGGTAGGGGGAGGAGCTACATAGTGGGAAGTTAGATACCCAACTTGTGGGTAGTTGAGGCAGGAAAGAGCTTGGGGATTGGGATGAAGATGAATTGCATAGGATAAAGTGGAACTATCAGGCAAGAGATAGTCAAATGTCTACTGTGCTGGGACAAACAATTTAATTTTTATTCTGGACACATTTGTTATCTGTCTAACCTACAATTTTCCCCTCTCACCTGCTGCTCCACATGAATCCACTCATCTACACATGAATTCTCAGTCCCAGCTAAACATCCACTGTACCAGGCCTAGAATTTCTTTTGCTCTCTTCTTCCAGTAATTTGAAGGTCTCCCCACACATATTCAACTTCAGAGCCATTTAGCATCACTTGTACCCACCTAAAGACTATAAACAAGAAATCAAGCAGTCATGTGACAGTGTGGTTTACCTGGCCTGGTGGCTGGGAACTATGGAGCCAGATAAAGGTATTAAGGAAGGTGTACTAAAAATGTGAAAATAATTCTTTCCAACACCAGTTATGAAGCATTAGAAGCATGTGATGGCATATGTCCTCTACATATGGATTATTTGAATAATTCAAATTAAAATAAAGGAGCAAGAGAATCATGAATACACTCTTCTTAATCTATAGATTAACCTTTTGTTAAGTTGATTTTGATCTGGCTAGAGTGACAGGAGGAGGGAGGGCTAGATTTTCTTAAACAGGTTAAATTTTGTAATACACTAATTTAACATCTTTAACTGTTCTGATAGTGAGAAAAGCAATGCTGATTAGACCCCCATGTGTATAGACACACATGCCGTCAGGTAAACAAGAACCCCCAGAGAACCACTCTAAATACTGGAATGTTTCTCTTAGTTTTCTTTTCTCTCATTTTAAGCACAACTGCTTAAAAATGTTAGTTTTGAATCAGACTTCTTCTCCCTCCACTTAACATATGATAAAATATTAAGAGAAAATCTTATTAAAACTTTACCTTTATGGCTATCAAGCACACTGTTAGGCGAGTGTTCCACAATTTATTGAAGGGCTTAAAAAGTTTCTAACATTTTGATCTTATTAAAAGACAGTGACCATGCCATTTTCTGCCTCAGTTAGAATGCTGACTTTTCCTTTAGACAAGGTTTTAGAAAATGGAATTGAAGAGGATTTTTAAAAAATATATGCCGAGACTTACTTCCTCCATGCCGTACAGATTTCAGTCCAGAAGTTCCCCACTCCTTGCTCCCCTAAGGAATTCGGGGTGAGGGTGCTGCTGTCTGTCCCACACCTCACCCTCAGTCCCTTCTCCCCTCCCATCCTCGGGTCAGAGAAAACAAAACAAAACAACAGCAGAACCAAGAAACAAATTATCCGGGTATGGAATTATTTGTTTTTCCTGCCTTCTATGATTCCAAGCCCAAACCAAGTCTCCACATCCACAAACCAATCTTTTTTATTAAGAAAAATTAAAGAAATAACTCACGATCCTTTTGATTTGTGTTTCAACTTGTGGTCAGGGACTTAAATTTCGGATCTGTAAGATGTATGGCAAGTTCCTGTTAAACAATTTACTGCTCACTTTTGCACCTCAGTAGAGGGGTGACGCACTTGTGCCGGGACAGCAAGTTCCCCGCCGCTGCCCCGCACCTGCACCTGCTGGACCTGCAGCTCTGGTTCAGGACTCGAGGCTCAGTATCTTAGAGCAAAAGGCCCTGCGCCTTCGCGTTCTGAGCTGTCATAAGAGCCACTCGCCCTTGAAGCGCTTAGGACTTTCCTGAGCTGGGGCGCTCGGGACAGAATGCCACCCCCAGCTGGGGAGCGCAGGATTGAACGCCACCGCCACCCGGTATCCAGGCACCTGCCGCGACTTGCCTGTCCGCACTCACCTCCGCCGTACATCTGGCACAGGTAGGGGAAGCGCCACACGTTGCCTAAGCCCACAGCATAGGAGATGCAGGCGAACACAAACTGTAGCGGGTTGCCCCACTGAGGCCGTGCTTTCTCCATGGCCCGCGCTGGGTGTCTGTCAGGGCTTGGTCTCTGGCCGCTGCTTGCCCGCCTTTTAATTGCTAATCTCATTAACTCGCGCCAGAGGGGCGAGGCCCGTAAGCGGAGATAGGCGAGCCCCACCCAGCAGAGCCACGGCAGGGAAGGCGCCCCTGCTTGGCACCGGGTGTGGACTTCAGAGCGCAGGGAAAGGATCACATTTCCTCAACTTCTTACTGATTCATCGATGCCAATATGCCAAGCACTACTCCAGAGCAGACATTCAGTTGGCGGGAATATTTAAATACCGCGGGATGATTTGTTCTTGACTTCTTTTGACCTACCGAGGCAGTCTCATTTCATACCACCTAGTTCACGTAAATCGAGGATGCAGGGACAATGCAAAGGATAAGCCCTAAATCCAGGTAGACAAGACCCAGGGCGTTTCAGAGGAGAGATGACTTTTGCACAGAGAGGGTACGTGTGGAGGCTCAGTGGCAGAGTACACTTGTGAGGCCGAGTTTGATTCTAGCACACATGGAATACCTATGCTTCTCCATCTACTGACTCTTCCCTATACCCGAACTGTGGCAGAATCAGGTTTTGAACAACTACTGTGAGGCCAGTGGGAGCTAGAGAGTCTCATTCCCCAGGTTAGGTGGAAACCTAAGATTTCTCATGCTTTGCCAGTCCAACAAGGAAATGTAGTTGAACCTGACTCCACAAAGTTTGGTGCAGTGATGCCAAATAGGGTCTGTTGTTTGTGTCTCTACTCCACCACTGACTAAGCTCTGTCACTTGGGCAAGTCATTTAACACCTTTGGCCCTGTTTCATATGTAATAGAAAACAAAACAAAAACAAACCCCTGCCCCCTCTCGCCCAACAAGCTTAAACTACCTATCTTGGAACTTTTAACCTTAAAACAGTAAAGAAGAAAACAAAGTCACGATACAGCAGAAGGAACTCTGGATACTTAAGCAGCTTCAGATTATAGATTTTTCCCCCTTTCCTGCTTCCTTCCACGCCTAATTCCAGTCTATTGTTGATGGACATTTGTGTTGTTCCAGTTTGTGGCTTTAATAAACAGAACTAGTGTGAACATTCTACCATCCTCCTCTGATGGGTGCACTCACTGCAGGGAACTTTGGGACTATGGGTGGCATTAGGAAATGCCAGTTCACATTCTCATTAGCCTCAGCTGCTTTGTATCCTATCACTCGACATTCTGTTTAAAAAAAAAAAAAAAAGAAGCAGTTATTGGGGGCAGGTGCCACAGCACGAATGAAGTTAAGAGAACAATCTGTGGGAGTCAGAGCCCTGCCATTCGGTTTATAAAGATCTGTCTAGACTTATGACTGTGTGCTGATGGTTCAATTTGCCTTTTGATTTCTCTGACAACTGACAAGTCTGCAACTTTCCATATACTCACCAGGCCATCAAAAGAGCCCTGGGTTTCTGAAATGTCTGCATAAGCCTTTGGTCAGTTTTTACTGGGTTGTCTTTTTCTACTGATTTGCATTCATTTCCGTACTCTGGCTATGGGGCCTGTCTGTGTTACATGCCAACAGTTTCATTTCTTACTCTGTGTTGCCTTTCTGGCCTGTCATAAGTGTCTTCTAATGAAGAGAATTCTCAACTTCAAGAAAGCCCAATTTGGGCTGGAGATGTATGTGGCTCATTTTGTAGAGTGCTTGCCTAACATGAATGAGACTTTGGGCTCTATTCCCAGCTCTCCATAAACTGGGTATGTATGGTGGTGTATACGTGTAATCTCAGCACTTGGGAGGTAGAGGCAGGAGGATCAGAAGTTCAAGGTTAGCCTGTTATAGAACACCCTATCTCAAAAATAAGCAAGTAGGCTGGAGGATTGGAATTCAGTTTCCAGCACCCACAAGGTTAGCTCACTACCACCTGTAACTCCAGCACTAGGGGATCCAATACCTTCTTTTGGTTTTTGAGGGCACCTACATGCATCTACATGTATATACACAAAGACACATATACACATAAAATATAAATATTAAAAAAATTATCAATTTTTTAAAAGTTGTCTTTGTGGTCATTTTTTCCCTCGTGTCTTACTTTATTTTATTTATTTATTTATTTATTTATTTATTTATTTATTTATTTATTTTACTTTATTAAAATACGGAGTTTATTTTACATGTATATTTGTCTCCTACCATTTCCACATCTGACCACCACTATTACTATGTCCTATCATAACATTCCATACATACTTAAAAACAAGTAAAGGGTAGAGTTCCATCCTTGAAAACTAAACAGGCATTTTAGACAACACATTCTTGGCAATGGAACCTGGACAACATTTATCAAACACAGTAGGGAAAATTCTCACTTTGCATTATAAAAAGGACAGCCAGATATATCAACTGTTACAGAAATTAAGTAAGACAGAATATTTCAAACTGTTTAAACCATTTTCTTAAAGAGATTTCCTCCACTGCCAGAGATCTTGAATAACCTCTTGGTCAGTGATCTGGAAGCAATTCTTCACATAATTAATGAACTTGGCTTCTACTTTGGGAAGAGAATCATCTTTTTCTATACTTGCTTGCATTTTTGCCTTAATGTCTTCTACAGAACTAGGTCCTTTTGGTGTTTTAGGAGTTTTTTCTTTTTGAAAGACTCTTGACCCTTTGATCATGATGTTGATGGTTTTAAGTCTTTTCCATTTTGGTTTGATTTTGGTGCATTTTTGGCTGGGGTATCTCATACGGATTTCTTCACTGGAACTTTTTCTTCAGCTTCCTTATCATCAAAATCATCATCATCATCATCATCATCATCACCATCCTCATCCTCACCATCTTCGTCAAGTTTTACTTTTTTCTGCAGGACCTTGTTACCTCCTCCAGGAGCAGATCGTTTTCCAGACAAGAGTTTACATCCTCCTCATCTTCATCTCCTGACTCGGCGTCTTCCTCTACAGCTACCAGGTGCTGTCCACTGATGTGCACAGGCCCTGACCCACACTTCAACCTTAAGACCACAGGTGGTGTAATTTCAAAGCCCCCAAGAGAAACTGTTGGTTGTACAGACATTTTCAAAGTTGCCAGTGTTACTTTAATTGGACTGCCTTCGTAGTTCATTGCTTCTGCCTCTATGATGTGTAATTTGTCTTTTGCCCCGCCCCTAAACTAACCGTTCTTAGTGATAACTGGTGCTCATTCTCATCATTATCCACCTTAAAGTGATAATCCTTGTCAGCTTTTAGTTCACAACCAAAAAGGCAGTTCTGAGGCCCAAGAGGGCTCATGTCCATGCCCATCGAGTCTTCCATGAGGTGGAGGCGCGCACTTCGGTGTCAGAGAAGTTGGACAGAGGAAACCGCCTGCTGCTCCTCAGAACAGACATGCAGGACGGAATCATGCCAGGTCGTGTCTTACTTTAAACAACCTTTTCTTGCCAGGATTATGGAACATGCCTTTAATACTAGCACTTGTGAGACAGGAGGATCTGTCAGTTCAAGGCCAGCCTGGTTTAACATAGTGAGTCCAGGATAGGCAGGACTACATAGAGACCTTGTCTCAACAAAACAAAAACAAACAAACAAAAAAACGCCCAAAAAACTGAAAACAATAATAACAAGAAAAAGCCCAACCTCTTCCTTACCAACTCCAAGGTCATGAAGATATCCCTGAGCATTCAATCCCTTAGCAAAGCAAATCTCAGCAGTGAATAAGTTACTGCCTATTGAAACTCCTGGATCTCAATGATTCTGCTAGGCTGGCTGTTTAATGCACTCCAGGAATTCTCCTGTCTCCACATTCCCCCTCTCCTCAGTATTTGGAGAAATAGTCATGTGCCACTGTCCCTGGCTTTTTATGTGGGTGCCAGAGATTGAAACTCAGATCCTTATGCCTATTCACCACCATGCCTATAGGCAGACCCTTTACCAAATAAGCCATCTCCTCAGCCCCAGCAGTCCTGGTAAAGGGTCTACCTATAGGCATGGTGGTGAATAGTTTGGACAAGAGACCTGTTGCTGCCTCCAGCTATGTACTTATGCTTTGAGTATCACATATTAGTTTTTCTGAGAAACCGCCATACTGATTTCCAAAGTGGCTGTACAAGTTTGCATTCTCACCAACAGTGGAGGAGTGTTCCCCTTGCTCCACATCCTCTCCAACATAAGCTGTCTTCAGTGTTTTTGATCTTAGCCATTCTGACGGGTGTAAGATGGTATCTCAGAGTCATTTTGATATGCATTTCCCTTTTGATGTCTAGTCTTTCTTGAGTTCTTTATATATTCTGGAGATCAACTCTCTGTCAGATCTGGTGGTTTCTCAGAAAATTGGGAATCAATCTTCCTCAAGACCCAGCTACAGCACTCTTGGTTGTATAACCAAGGAATGCTCAATCATACCACAAGGACACATGCTCAACTATGTTCATAGCAGCATTATTTGTAACAGTCAGAACCTGGAAACAACCTAGATGCCCCTCAACTGAAGAATGGATAAAGAAAATGTGATACATATACACAGCGGAGTACTACTTTCAGAGAAAAACAATGACATCATGAGGTTTGCAGGCAAATGGATGGAACTAGAAAAATATCATCCTGAGTGAGGTAACCCAGACTCAGAAAGACAAACATGGTATGTACTCATTCATAAGTGGATACTAGATGTAAATCAAAGGATAACCAGACTGCAACCCACAGCTCCAGGGAGGCTAGCTAGTAAGGAGGACCCCAGGAAAGACACAGGGATCGCCCAATGATGGAGAAATGGATGAGATCTATATGAGCAAACCTGGGGAATAGAGGGGGTAATTGAGGGCAAGGGACGGGGGAATGAAAGCTTAGGGGAGCAGGAGGTTTGAGCTGGACCAGGAACAGACTGGGAGAACAAGGAAAGAGATACCATGATAAGTGAAGGCACCATGGGAATAGGGAGAAGCAGAGTGCTAGGGAGGTTCCCAGGAATCCACAAAGATGACTCCACCATAGACTCCTGGCAATGGTCAAGAGGGTGCCCGAGCTGACCTACTCTGGTGATCAGATGGCTGAATAACCTAACTGTCATCATAGAACCCTCATCCAGTG